CTCCAGAACGATGCCTGGAGACAAAACAGCACAGAGCACGTGGGCCCTGTCCCCGCCTGGAGCCACACTGTTTAGATCGGTGACGTGTGTCTATGCCTTTTCCTGCACACGATGTCTGCTGTGATTACACCTCTGTCATCCACAGCCAGGCAAGCTCTCGCTCCCAAACCTTGATGTGATGCTGCATGTGCAGAGCCCCCGACGCCTGTTTGGGAACCGTGAATGGAAACGGTGTGGGCAACGGACAGACAGCTCCCGGTGATGCCTCAGTGCACGGTCCTCGTGAGACTTCCACGTAAAGTGAACTCTTGAAAAGCTTGATTCTCCTTCCTCAATTGGCAATCATGGTGCCCATGGAGGGACTCTGAGCGGACTGCCCAGGGCTGCCTGGGACACCACAGGGACCCGGCACTTGGGCCCCAGCACAGGCCCTTGGGGCCTCCCTGGCCCCTGCACAGTTGCACGTGCTGGGGTCTCTCCTGGGACCTCCTGGGTTCTCTCCTGGGTCCCTGGGGTCTTTCCTGGGTCTCTGCAAGGTCCTCCTGGGTCTCCTTAAAGCATGCCAAGCTTTCTAAGGCTGTTGCTGGCCCATTCTTTTGCTTACTGTAAACCAATGAGGAAATTATATCAAGAAAAATTCGGAGCTCAAATGGCAGCCTGCAGTGATAGAGTTAGTGTGGGGACTTGTCTGAGCTCTCCGTCTCTCTTTATGCTGAGGTAAAATGACTGGCTATTTTAAAAAGAAGTGTAGGGAAGGCAGGAAGTACAAGCAAGTCAGAATGGTCCGTAAAAACTGTGATAAGGTTTATGAAAAGATAATTTATGAAAAGAATTCTGTGTGTAAGTCAGCTGTGATTAAAAGTAATTATATGTCTTTCTAAAGATTGAGGTTTGATATTAAATATACATTAATACAAAACTAAAGATCAGTCCCTATCACCACAGTTTCCTTAGAGTACTGGTTTGCTCTTAAGGAAACTGCAAGAGGTTTTGATTTTTAACTCTGAAGTCATCTCTTTTTGAAACTGCTCAGATCCACATCTCAGAAGGTCAGCTTCCACTGTCCCTTGCAACGTGCGCTTTGCAGGAGACATACTGCCTCAGCTCTGTCTCCCCATGAGAAGGGCCTGGGAGAAGGACTTTCTCCTTCAAACGTTTGGTCAAGTCCTGCAACCTTTTCCGCCGGTTTTAACTCTGCTGTTGTAACTTGACGCTAAAACGTGTGTCCTGAGGGCCGGGAAAAGCAACGTTTTCCTCAAGTGCAGCTTGAATCTATATACCTGGCTTTTCTCGCTATGTCTGAACTGTTCAGCGTAATCAGGAAACTTCTCATGCTGTTACCGAGAGCCACGTATTCCCCGGCTGGAGGCTAGGTTCCCCGTTTGCTGTCGTCTGTCATCACGTGCGCACCCATGGCCCTGGACACGCTCCAGGTTCCCGTCTCATCGGGTCTGACTCCAGGTTCTCTGCATGGGCTTCCCGCAAAAAGGCACAACCGCACTGCAGGCTTTTCTGTACCTTTTAGTAACTGTCTTAAAAACAAAGATTTTATATTTTATCAAGATAATTTCTGTATTATCTTTATTATGTTTTGATTATTTATTATATTTTGATTATTATGTTTTGATTATTTGTGTGCAGTGCTCTGTGTGGCGTGTGTCTCCTGTGATGCTGTGAACT